AGGGGTGGCCGGGCTCAGCGGGGAGCCGCGGGGGTCCTTCCCCGCCCCCCGCCCTCAGCGAGGGGTGGTCTCTGGGCGCCAGGCCTCGCTCGCCGAGCTGCGCTGGACAGCCGGGAGGGATTTCCTGGAAGAGGCCGTGTTATCTCGGAGCACCGCGCGGAGCACGTTGTGGAGACCGCTGGTGGCCGAGGTCTGTGTCCCCCCAGGACGCTTTGGAGTGAAAGCAGACAGAGGGCTGGCTGGGTTTCCAAGGCAGGCTGCCGCAGAAGCCTGTGTGAAAAGCACGAGCTGTTAGGCTCGTTTCCTCGCTTGTGTCACTGAACGCGAAGTTGACTGTAGCAATAAGCCCTGAGGTGCGTTGTAGCTATTTTTGATGTAGGTGAACGTATAGCTCCAGGCCATGCATCCATAACGAAAAAATACATGACAGTGGACTCTGTCAGAGTTTTTCGTTGTTAAATTTAAGTGCTTTTTCATTGTGCCCGCTGCCATGCTGGGGAGGCACAGAGCAGCTGAGGAGTCTGTTGGTACCTTTTAACATGGCATGTCCCACAGTGGTGCCTCCAGGAGCCTGTCTGGGTCACCAGGAGCACTCACGGATGACAGTGTTTGGGAAATGGATTTCTGGTTAATGGAGGTAACTTGGAATTTTTTTAAGATTAAATGATTTCCAAATGCTTAGAACCGACTTATCCAAAGTCCCCCTGCAAAGCCAGGAATGGAAGACAGGCATAACACTGCACTCCACTGCATGATCCTCCACTTCATACAGTTTCAGTAGTAACGTTAACCCGTACATCACATTACCTGTGTAGGTTTAGAATGTTCCTCTGCTGAATTCTCTACCTGAAACGTCTCTTGCAGTCTCGCTCTTTCTTGAAAGATATGCAAACAAGCAGATTTCTATAAATAAATATGCCATCTGCTTGTTTCAAGAACGGGATGTGTTTTCTGCATTACTGATGTGGAGCTCCTCTGAAGCACAAGCCAGTGAGCTCTTGAGATTTCAAAACCTGCTTTTGTTCCATTCGGAAGCAAATAACAAAACATCTCAGACCTCTGCATGATGGGCACAGGAAGGAGGAGGTGTGCAGAAAACATGACATTTAATTTCAGGTCAACCTTTACAAATGTTTCTGATACTCTCCAACTTGTTTCCAGAGCTGATCAGCTCAATAAACCTGCAAAGCAGAAGAGCCAGGAAACTTGGAAGGTTTGACTCTGAAGCAGCCAGTCAAAGTAGCTATTCCATAGCCATAGCTTGGGCATACGTGTGCTCTGCATTTGTATGGTGGTCTCAAGGCCAAGTAGCCCACTATTTATTCATGGCTGCCTGCTCAGGTTGATCTTTGCAATGACTCTGTTAAAGCTCTGGAGGGCGGTCCTGGGGGGAGAGGGCTGCGGTTACACTTAGGAGCACATGCTAGGGTTGCGTTTTTCTGCAACGTAGCTTTATCTTGCCAAGGTTGTTTGCATGTGTCCCTTTTGTCCTAACAGTGATGTTAGATGATCAGTATCAGGCAAATAGAGTTCTGTTGGTCTTCCCTCACAGACGGGTCCCCATGTGACCTGCTGCGATAGTAGATAGGTTTTGTAGGCAGCCTGAACTAAAGTTACAGACAGGCTGTCTCTGAAGATGATGTGGAAGTGCAAAGCTGAATCTTGAAAGTGCTGGAGGCCTCAGACAGCTTCCAGGAGTACCTAGCTCAGTTATTGTGTTGGTAGTCTAGGAGCCCCAACTGATGGGATGCGTGGAAGCTGGACTCACTGGTATTTCCCTGGCTTCTCTCCAGGCGTTGCCTTGAAGAGGAGGAATAGCAAAAGGTGGTCGGGGTTCTGACAGAAATGGTTTTCCCCTGGAATTTCACTGGCACTGATATATCGTCAAAAGACGTGAATTAGGACAGCTCTTCAAACTTGAAGAAAAACTTGTTTTGTCACGCTTTTCTTGCATGTTCTAAGGAGCTGAATATATAATTTGACTTTTTGAGGTACATGTGTTGTTCAGTGTGTCATACACAAGTGCTTCAAATCCTACAGGAAGGTTCTAAGATGGGCAAATAAGTCTATTGCATAGTACTATGTATAGAGTACTTTGAATATGTCTTGTGATTAATTGCAAGGATTAAGACTTAAATATTTTGCAAAGTGAATTCAGAAACCTCAAGGTTTTCCCCATGGAGAGGTCATTTTGAATAGCCTGAAGGTTCAGATCCTACAGGTATAACTCTGCTTTTTAAAGTGACTGCGAAAATAATACTGTACGGCTTTAGTTTTCTATGTGGCTTCTGAACAAAGCTTGCTACCTTGTTGAAAGTGGAAAGACTTTTTTTTTCCCTAAATCTTAATCTGTAAGCTTGATCTAAATAAGAAAGTTTTTCATCTATCTCATTCAGTAGTGCCAGAACTAAATGGGCTTGATAGGTATTTAGTTAAAATTAGTGATTTAATCACTTTCTAGCTTGCTGTTATCAGTGGTAAACTTCAAGATATAGTAACTAGTAGATCTTATCTTCTTATCCATAGGTCTTAGTTGTGGATAGGAAGATGAAAATAAGCATTTTAAATCTCCAAAATATTCCTCACGCTTGGGTGAATTAATAAAATGAACTAGACAGAAACGGAGGTGGGGAAAACCACCTTTCTTTTCATCTGCAGAAGAGGTTGTTATTGTGGAAGGAGGTTTATCAGTTGCACAGACTTAGGTTCTCAGTATTTGTGTAATGACTTCCTGTAGTCACTTTAAACATTGAACAGAGGAAGATTTACATCTCAGATAAGGTTTTCCTTTCAGTTAACCGATTTTAACCGATTTTAATGTATCATGTGAAGTTTGACCAGAGTATACTTTGTTTCACAGTTGCACCTTGCTATTCTGTCTGTAATTCAAAACTAGAACCTGCAAATATTAATACTATGAGGGTAGTAGATGAGGTAGAATAATAACATGTAGGAGTGGGAATATTTATAAAGACTTTGTAGCTTTCTTACAATTAACAATTTTAACTTTTTTTTTTTTTTAACTCCCTCTTGATCTACCCTTTTTCTGGAAACATTTTTTGCAACAGTGATAGTCTTAATGATATCTCAAATAAAGCCAAATACTCATTATTTTTTATTGTATTTAACATACTGGATTCAGTGGCATAGAATTTTCAGATGCTATCTTCATGCAAAATCAGTACAAATAATCAGAAAATTTTTTGTGTATTTATTTGAAATGGTAATAAAGCTTTCCAGGTGAGGAAAGGAAAAGTGCTATTATCATAAAATTACCTGTCTAAACTGGTACCCTCCATCCCCCGATGTAATAGCAGTAACAGTGCAGTTCAGTACCATTTCGGTCCTGTTGTCCCCCCACACACACACTGAAGAGGTGAAAATAATTTTTTGCACATAGACCTCATCTCAGTTGTGAGTTGTTCACTAGCACAAGTTGCTGAATCTGATTTTTATTTAATGTATTTGCAGGTATAGAAGCAAAATGTATATTTCACAACTAGTAGGTTATATTTCTTAATCGCTATGGCAACACTCATGGGTGGATCCCTGCATTTTTATCAACTTGGTAAGTTACTTGTACCTTTATACTGTAAGAGAAGTAGTATTGCTGATTTTTTTTCACTAATGCCCCTTTTGAGTTACTGAACTAAGATACTAGCGTGTTATTATATAGCTGTCCCTGGAATAATTCACAGAATCAAGATTCCACTGTATTATATTCCATTCTATACTATACTCCATTCTATAAGTAAACCATTATTTTCCCCTCAGAAAAAAATGCTCTGAAACAACATACTGCTTTCTGCCTCCCTACATTTCCAGTGGACTTTCAATTGGATATGTTGTTTTTCATGTCCTAATATTTTTTGCAGGGGACTCCTTAGTTTCTGGATTAGCGGGCACCACAAACATAGTTTGTTGTTTCAGCTGTAGTCTTAGTGGGAAACTGTCCTGAGAAGATCACTCAGTTCTGTAAAAAGGACAAAGAGGATTTCCCTGCTTAGTTTAGAGACTTTTTTTTCTCCATTCCATTGTTTCCCACAGTTACTTGGTCTCTGATGTTTCTTCTTTCTGTGTGTTCCTTATGTAAGAGTCCGACTTACTCAATTTTTGCAGCTCCAACCATTTTTGTTAGCCTTATTTGTTGAAACAAAGTTACTGAAGTATTTTGAACTCTGAATGAACTGACTTGATTTTAATAGGGGAGAGGTGTTTAAAATTCACAAAGAAGGAGAGAAAAGATCTTGTGAACAGGCATGCCTTCAGCAAGACAGCTGACAGCTGGCGAGGTGGCTGGGATAAAAGAGACCAGCAAAAGACTGCTCCTCCTAAACCAAAGAGTTTCCTCTAAGGAAGCATATCGTTCATGAAGTCTCTGCGCTGACAATATTTATTTGTATAATGGTAATATCCTCAGTGTGCTAGTAGGGGCTGTACGCCTGTTGAGAGAAGGGAGAACTCCTGCCACCATCACTATAAACCTGAGCTTATGTTCAGTTAAAGAATAATAACTCTTACAGTATTGTTGTGTTTTTCCTACCAGCTGGCCAGTTTTTTCCGGATAGGTGATCTATTGCTATAATGCAAGAAATGGATTGTTCCCACTTTTGTTAACTGCACTTCTTTAAGGGAGTATTTATTATTCAATAATAATATAGAAGAACAGATGCAAAAAGAAGACATACAAGAGAGGGTATCTGTGGTTTAAATGACACACTGAAGCTTGAGAGATGTGTTCTCTGTGTGAACATGCATTTGCTGCATGTACAACTCAAGTGAGTTGCTTAATCTCTTTGGACACTGGGAGTCTAGTTTAATACTTGTAAGACTAATGTCCTGAGAGCCAGATTTGTAAAAGGCACTTTGTTGGAAACATTTGGATTTTGCTAACCAAGTTAGGTGGCTAAGTGTATTTGTATGTGCTTCTGCGTGTGCCTGCTGCTAATTAAAGGGGCAGGGTTTTTTTAAGGCACTTCTCTGCAGCCAAAAAATTCTGTGCAGATATTTATTTAAGTGATGAGGAAATTTTTCCTCTTGTCTTCCAGTACTCTGCAAAAATAGAGAAGGAATTCAAAATAACTGCTTTTATGTGTTAGGAAAATTCTCCCTGTGTGCCTGGAGCAGGACACTTCCCAGTACACTTGGGAACACCTGGGACATCTGACCCACAACTGTTCTGAACACCCTCTACTTTAGCAAGGAGGTGTATTATGGTGCCATGTTTCACATGCTCCCAGCCGTTATTTGTAGATTTCCAAAGGTGGTTATTTTTTAAAGGTAAGTCCCAGACTTAAAAGTTTTATCTTTTCAGGATCTTTCTTATTGTGGCACATCTTACTGACACAAAGAGTTCTGTTTTTTGTAGTGGGTGGCACCGGAGAGCCGTGGTCGTGGACCAGTAGAGTGCTATTGTGCTAGTTGCTGCACCACTGTAAAATCTGAAAGATGTTCCCCAAGGTGCAGGAGCTACCATTCTAGCCAAGCTGAGGGGAATAAAAAAACATGTTAAGGCAGTATTAATCAACAAAGTTAAGTGGTGTCAGGACAGCGGTGTTGGGTGTTGTCCTACTACTGGGGTAGAGGTTTAGTTGTTATGACCAAAGGGAGTTTTGGGAGAAGAATTCTAGGGAAAATAATAAAGGAATTTTGCAGATATTCCCAGGGAATTCTTTTAAGGCATGAGAAAAAGCATGTTTGCTTTCAATTGAACTACTGACTTATCTGGCCAACTGAGGGTGGGAGTTAGTATCTCATCAGCAAGAGGAAAGGCAAAGGATAGGCCACAAAACCTTGAAAATGAAAACAGGAAGTTTATGTTTGTCACACTTGGCAGTGTGATGTAAGCTCAAGTATCTTAAGAAAAAATTAGAATGGTCAAAACAATAGTTACAAGAACGACTTGAAGCAACGCTCTGAATAGACATGATTAACACAAGACTGGGTTGGTCAAGGCCAGTGAAAAAGGGTGAAGTGAGAATCTGGATGAAAGGCCAATCTCTTATGGATGTTATTTAAAAAAAAAAAAAAAAAGATATGTGGAAGTGTAGGTGTCAGGATCTGAGAGAAGGCTGAGCTCAAGAGGATATGCGAGCTATAGCCCTGACTGGCAGGCTGAATGTGGCCTCTGATACAAGAAGTGTGTGCGTATCACTGCGTCCATTTTTTTTTGTTTCTTTTGCAGGCAGAGAATAGAGTGAGTGAAAGAGTTAGCAGCACTCAGGGGGGAGTGTTACAGAAACAGGACGTGAACTTTACTTTGGAAAGGAGAGGCAACTGGAATAAAGAGAGAGTTACAAGAGTTAGCTGATTGAAAACAGTGAATTATATCCTGAAGTTGTTAAGCTACAGCATTGAAGACTCTCCACATTTAGTGAAGAAAGGCATCTGTGAAGATAATTGTCGTGTTCCTCAAGCTGTAATATCTATCTTTTTCCAGGCCAGTTTTAAGATTGTTCTCCTGACTTAACATGGTACTTAATAAATGGAACGAGCTACCTGAGATGCAGTTAGCAACCTCTTAAGGCAATATTTGTTAAGTACTTCTTAAGAAAGTTTGTTCAAACGGAAAGTTCAACCTCTTCTACCAGGGATCAGCATGAGCCTGAAAAACAGTGTAGTTACCACAGAACTGGCTGCTAGGGGCCTTGATTCAATGACTGGTTGGAAAGGGACATCCACACTCTGGGAAAATGGAAGAAAGGGCAGAGGAGAGGAGGAGGAGGAGGAAGATGTTAGAGAACCCAGCCACATAAAAAGTTGAGTTAAGGACCTACAGAAGCGTTCAGTTCCATTGAGGGAATAGTTAATATTGTCTCTAATTGTTGCAAATTAATATTACCAGTAATAAATTAATACTTCTCATGAATCAGATATTGTAGACATACAAATGCACTAATATATGGTTTCATTTTCCAGTGTACATCAGCATTCTGTCTACAGGTTGTTACAGCTTGCCTGGTAAGAGTTCTTACTGTGTTTGAAATATATTTCCTAAAACTTTACAAAAAACTTGCATGTTCTCACCAAGCATCATTTTACAACTCTGTGCCGTTTGAAGGAAGTACTTCGTACAAATGAAACATAGCAGAACAGTCTTTTGCGTTGGTTGCTGTTGTGCTGAACTCAATGCTATACCATAGTTGCTTTATTTTGGGGCTAATACTGGGCTGCTTTAATGGGGTTTATTGATTTAGAATTGATGCGGCCTTGCATTTGTTTGCCATTCCTCTTCATTTCATAGGTTTAATTTTTTTCTTTTTAGAAAGATCTGTGAGAGGGCCACCGCTCAACCTACAAATGAAATCTCACAATTTCCAGCACATTTTGTCCTGGCAGCCAGGAAGTGATCTAACTGTGCCAACACGCTATCGTGTGCTATATTCTGACCGCAGGTATGTCTGATTTCATATAGGTTACAAATTTTAATGTTTACCCACTTGGAATAATCAGCCTCGGTCTTCTTTATTTGTTTGTCTGCTTTTCCACTATAATTTGCCATCGATGAGGTAAAAAGGAAAGAATTGGATTTTAGCATATAATTAGCTATGCCTCACTTAAGCTCACTACATATTCATGCTGTAAACAAATTGTGTCATGGAAAAGAAGCAATTTCAAAAACATTCAGGGACGTTTGCAGTCAGGTTTTTTTTTTTTTTTGATGCTCTGTTCTCTGTCATCACTTGAAACAGCTATACCTTAACAAACAGAGTGCACTAGGTCTAGTGGAGGAGTCTTTAGGAGCACTAAGGACTGACTGACCTTTGCTCACCCGAGCTCTTCTTTTGGAAATGGAGTTTTGCCAACGTGTCTAGTTGTAAAGGTGGCTGGTAGATGTTTTGTAGCTACAAAATTGTTCAAGAGTAGCTCTGTTGTTTGGAGCTATGACACATGACTAGGTTTTGGGGCTGAGCTCCTGGAGACCTGCAAGATAACCAGGGACTGCTGGCTATAGGAGTAAAATGAGCCGCTGGGGCTGCTGAGGTCAGCTCTGCTTGTTGCCCTGGTACGCAGCTGCATCACTCCATGTCAGACTGGACATGGGGTTTTGGGAAGCCATTTTCCCCCTACACCACAGCCGTTTCTGGAGCTTACCTTATTCTTGTCTCTCTGACTCTTGGACATGTAAAGATTTGGAAATGTAGGCTGAGGAAGCAGGCCATTTGATAGAGAACCAATTTTATCTCATTAGTTTATTTAATTTCAGTGTCATTTATCTAGAATCTTTGTAGGCGGTTTCCTTAATGCTGTATGTCTTCCTTATGTACCTAACTCTTCTGAGTCTTTATAACTCAACGAAAAGTTTGAAAAGAAAGACCTGAAAGAGAATCGTATTTGAAGGTATGGGTCAAATGCCATTTTGTGCATGGCTAGTCTGAGGCATGTAAAACATAATTCACATCAGAGGGGACCTTCAAATATATTATCAATAAAGAAGATTATCCTAGTCTCTTTTTTATTTATGGTAACAGAATCTAGGAGCTCCAGCTTGCATTAGGACCCCTTCTTGTGATGTGATGTAAAAGCACATTGAGATGCAACCCCTGACTAAACAAATATGCCATTGAAATAAAGAAAACATAAGACTAAGGACAAATAACATGCAAGCAGTTAGCTTTGTATGTGTGGGTATGTGTAAATGTGGATGAGCAGATGGGCCTTTCCAACTGTAAGGAGCTTCAAACGTTACTAGCTATGGTGAGAGACTGTCTTGAAAAGAGGTTGCATCCTTCAAAAGTTTACCATCACAGAATGTGCAAAGCAGGAAGGAATATTACTGATGTTCTGGTCCTCCAGTGAGAATGACAGCAGTGACTTAGGTTGCAGTGGGTACAGAACCAGACCGCTACTACCTACACATTCCCCTCTGCCCCTTACCCCTTGATCATTTGGGTTTGGTTTTGTTATTTTTTTTAAGGTCTTTTTTTTTTGAAATACATCTTTCTTTCCTGAATGAGAGTACAATAAAAAAAAATTCAGCTGTTATAAGTTATTTTTGCTTATACATTGAGTAGGAGCAGTGATCTTCTGATCTATTACATCTTTCAGTTGTTATTATTTTCTTCAGAAATGCTTTCTTAAAGCAGGTAATAGGTGATTTTGGTTTTTCTTTTTGTTTCAATTTACAGGAACTGGAAGACTGCTAAACAATGTTCAGATATTACGCAACTCTTGTGCAATCTGACAGAGGATTTTGAAGATTTTTCTCTTCAGTACTCTACATTGGTTCAGAGCTTCATAGGAACTGAAATATTCAATTCTTCTGCACTTCATTTTGTGCCGTTTACTGACAGTAGGTTCTCCGTCTGCATTTGTTCATTTTGGTAGTTTTTATTTCTAGTTACATATAAATGATACTCTGCTAACATTACAGTAAGACACTGCAAACTAACTTGGTTGCTAGCTTTATTCCTTTATGTGAGAGAATGTGAGTTGGTGTATAATCTAGTGCATAACACAGCATAAAATATACAGATAGCTTTCTGAAATATGTGACCAAAGTGATTTTGATAAATGGACACAGTCCTGGTTTTGATACTCTTTCCTTCATATATATAATATATATGTGTATATATTTTGTTTCATGTTGAGCATTCACAAGCACAAAGTAATAATCACTAAGTGCATGAAATACTTAATATTTAAAAACTAAAGAAAAAGATTGTATGTCTTCAAGTAGTCAGCGTTAGGAATAAAAGAAATATGTCTGAACTAGATGTTGGGGAAGAAGTTTATCTGTTCATCAGCTTGCTCTTTTGCTTTTCCTTGCTCCTACAAGAAGATGCTTATTAGTAGTGATGTCCTCTAATGCCAGAGCTAATGCCAGAGGTGGCTTCAGCCTGCAGTTATGCTTGTGGAATTCTGTTTCAAAGTAAGAGAAAGAGATTAAGGAATGTCTTTTTAGAGAGCTCAATAGTGATATGCTGAAAGTAAAGCTACTGATAATAGACAGTTTCTGCAACTTTATACTAATCCAGCTCTCCTGGTCTGAAAAAGTTACTTTTATTTAACTTTCATGGAAGGTAATGGGTGTACCCTCCAATTGGAGGAGAAATAGGGAGGTTGTTATGTCTGAATTCAACACAGTAGTAGCAACCACTCTGTCCGTCTTAGAAATGTTGAAAAATTGGAGGAGATTAGTGTTTTGTTTTGGTTTTTTTTTTTTTTGTTATTCTCCCAAAGATTTGTAAACATCCCGCAGCGGTGGTAGTCCTCGGTCCTTCAGCGATTAGTTTAATAAAGAAAAGGATCAGAAGGTGCTTTGGCCACTAGTTTACGTGACAGCAGGCTTATTCAGTCTAGCAAACAAAGCATAACAGCATGTCCTGATTGGAAGCTGAAGCTAGACAAATTTGAGTTAGAAACAAGAGACATGTTTTGAATCGGCCAGTGGAACAAACTGCCAGGTGATCTGGTTGGTTCTCCTTCACTGGCAATTTGTAAATTGAAATGGGACGTTTTTCTAGAAGTTCTCTAGTTCAAACCATAAGCAACTGAGTGAAGTTCTATAATGTGTTTTTTCAGGGCATGGGACTTAGATGAACCCAGTAGTGCCTTTTTGTTTTACAATGACTGAATAGGAAGGAAAAAATATTCTGAGATATTTCTTTAGGGTGTAGTTCCCATCTATTTTCAAATAGAGAGGGTGGAACCTTAGTCCAATTGAGAGATGGATTTGAGCAAAGACGCAGAGGTTTTGCAACAGAGAGCCAGGATAACAAGTGCAACCAAATTCAAGTTAATCCTTATTTTTAACTGAAAAAGAAAGTAGTAAGTTTGGAACCACACTGAACAGGACACGCTTTTCTGTTTGAGGTTAGATGAAAACTCACGTTTCTTCTAGATAGAAAACTTTTTTTAACCTATCCAGGTGAAACCTCCTTTTCCCTTCCTACCCAATTTCAGCAACAGAAATGCTTAGCACATGTATGTTGCTTTTTTGAATTTTGCAGAGTTTGGTGAATCGGCCTCTACCTTGATCAAAACGCAGGTGCTCCTGGGAAAGATGGAAGTGATATGCGAATTCTAAGTGTTTGCAGCTTTTTGGGTTTTGTTTTTGTTTTGGTTTGGTTTCTTCCCCCGCCTCTCATTGTACTATGAAGAAATGTATGGTTCTGGAGATAGTTTGTTTTGTAACGTTTTCAACTCTTACTTGTTTCCTCTGTTGGAGGAAAGAAGACCTTAGACTTAGATTCAGTTCCTTTGATCTCTTTCTAAAACTATACAGCCATCAAGGAGACAGTGTGTGCATGGTTTTCCAAACACATGAATGTTATGAGAAACTGAACTTGGGATGTTATTTTGAAGGCTAAGGCAATCTCACAGAAGTGCAATGGTGTTTCACATTGTCCTCTGTCTGACTCCCAGTAGAGTTTTTAGTCTTTGGAGCTGTCAGGTATTATGACCTGTAGCCTTTCTTGCAGCCAGTATGAATTGGGCCACACACTACTGAATTTCTACAGAGATTCCTTCCACAGAGTGACTACATGATGATGACTGGCAAGAAAGTAGTCATCTCTTCCTCTACATTAACTTCAGCTTTCCTCTCAAAAAGATAAAAAGCTCAGGCTTCTGTGGGAGCTGAGGCAAAGTGACTGCCTCTGTGAACTTTCCCGTTTTTCCCCCCCCCTCCACTGCTGAATGGCTGCTTTCTTTTTGTTTTTTAAAACCTACTTACCTGGGAAAAGATAGTTTGACCTTGGAACTTTTATGCTTCAAGGCCTTCTGGATACACAACAGTGAGGTACTCTGGATTCTGATCAGTCAGCTGTATATCCATCACGGAAATAAAATCGATACTGAATGTAAAGTGTATATGCTTCCTTTTTTTCCCTTCCCCCTTTCTTTTTTTCAATAGCATTCCTGGGACCACCAGAAGTTAATATAAGTTCCTGTGCAAACTGCATAAATATCACTGTAAAGCTACCAACATCTCACTTCAGAAAAAATGAAAAGCTACTGTCTTTAATTGATATATATGAAGAGCTTGATTATGAGGTAACACTGAAAACACGTGATGGACAGCATAAGGTAAAGAACTTCTAGTTTTATTTGTGCTTCAGAGAAGAGGGGAATATAGAAAGTATAAAATGGCCCTAGTGGTTAGCAGGTTCACAGAAACAAATATATGAATAGAAGGTGCTTAAAAGAAAACAAAGGGAGGGAGAGCCAACGTAATCTGTCAGGAGCAAACTTGGCTTCCTTCTGCAGCAGAGTAGCAGGCCTAGAAAAAGAACGCTATTTGCCTCGTATCTTTACGGGAAGTCAAGCATGGGGCACTGGCCCAAGTGATTGTTCTCCAGCAAGACGAGGGAAACATGGTTTAACTGAAGCTACTGGTAGCTTTATACACAGCTGATAGAAAAATCACGCTCAGAAAGCAGTTCATTGGTTCTCTGTCAAACAGAAAACATGTATTCAGTTAGGTTCTGCAACAACCTCTTCTGGGTCTGGTTTTTGTTTTGGTTTTTTACTCTTGATGTTTACTCTTGATTTGAAAGCTGAATTAGAGAGGTAGGTAGATAGGCAGGATTATAACTTGAAACAATCTTCACAGAATGGAGTAACCATCTTAAAACAATAGCAGATAATTCAGTAAGGAACAATGCAAGGCAGAACACTCAAGAATAGTGAGCTACACAATGAGTAGAGTGGAAACAGCTAAATAGGCAGAATTTTTGCCAGAAAGGATGAGCGCATTCTATAATATTACAAGCTAAACATGAGTCAAGTGTTGCCAAAAAATAGAGAGAGAATGCATCACAGTGGATGTAGAAACATACCACAGAGAACCTATAGGAAATCGTTTTTTCACGTTCTCGGTACTTGCAAAGCCCACCTGCAGCACTGTGTCCATGCCAAGGTCCAAAAAAGGCACAGACCAGTTGAGCAGGATCCTAAAAGGAACAGTGAGGCTGTGGGAGGTCCTGAACCATGGCCTGTGAGGAAACACTGGAAGAACAGAGAACTGTTTAGTGTAAACAAGCAAAGTGTGTTGGGAGGCCTGAATCTCTTAGCCTATAAACGTTAACTGCAGAGAAGGAGGTAATAAACCATTCACTCTTAACTGAGACAAAAAATGGCAAGCTGAAATTGCAGCGGTGAAGATTTTAAGTTAAGCATCAGGAGAGACATTAATACCGGCACTGGCAAAGCACTGGAATAAACTGCCTAACCAGAGGGTAGACTGCCTGTACTGGAAGTTTTGAACAGCAAAACAGATTAGCAACTTAATCAGTCTAGGTCATTTTGCTGTGAGTTACGGGAGAAGGACTACAGCTTGCCTACCATGGAGATTTTTCCCTGGTTTCTGAATTGAAATGCAATACTTTGGCAGTTACATACATGTAGAATCTGCGTGAGGTTGCTTCAAGAGGGCGTATAATGACCAACATTTGGAAACAGAAGGAAATTCTTCTGCTCTTCTTTTTTATCTTTGGTAATATGATGTTTCACAAATAGGCATAAGGTAGGTGTCTTGACATCAGCGAAAACTAGCGATGAAACTCTTGGCTAGGTAAACCACTGACTTCCTGTGAAATGTCAGTTTTTGCAGTTTCACATGTTAATAACAACCTGATGCTGAAACATTAAAAATTTTAATTTTAAATAGTGCATTAGAGCAAGTGTTTCTGTCAGTCAGTCTGTGCACTGAGTACTTTTCAGCAGTATCCATTTGCTAAAATATGATGATTTAATAGTATTGCCATATGTAGTACGAGAGTTATTAACCCAGCCACACTTAATTAAGCTTGTGAGCTGAGATGTGATAAACAATTATAAAAGTAGTTCCCTTTCAAGGTTTTGAATCAAGTCCTTAATACTCTGTGAAGATGGATATATTTGAAGAGTATGAGAAAACTAGCAATATAGTGGTACTACTCAATTTTAAAATGTTGCAGGGGTGTGTATGTGTTGGGATTTTTTTTTTGGAGTTACACAAAGTAGAATTACTTTTAAGGTAACAGCTTTTCATGTAGAATTATTTTTAACTTATCAACTTTTAAGTGTAACAATACAAGCACTGCATGAACACCTCGACTTGCAGAAACCAGCTGAGTTTCTGAGAAGACCTGCTTCTAGGGCCAGGATAAAGTAATGAAGTCAATGAAAGGCTGATAGGGCTTGAGACAACCCCTAAAACAGTGTGGTGAATAACACAAGCACACTCTGCTTACTTGGCAGAAAATAATAGCCTAGGGGTTGAGTGGAAATCTCAAGGTGACTGACCACGCAGCCATCAGTGAGACTACAGTCTGCACTGATAACAGCAACAAACCCTTAAAAATTGGCATCTGGTAGGCACTAGCGAAGGGTCAGAGTACAAACAGGATTTCTGATCTGGTAAATTTTTTAATCTGTAAAATGTGAAAGCTTTAACTGAACTTGAACAAAATATATCTCCGTGAAATGGATGCCCTCCAGATCCTGCAAATGCTTAATGAAATGAATGTTTGCATGAATGTTTCAATACTAGAAAAATACAAGAAAGCATTCTCCTCTTTGAGAATGCTTTGGCTTGCTGAATCCAGGGCAAAAGTGCTGAAAATCCATATAGATTTTCTTTCTTGCAAACAAAACTGTTCCATTGCAAAGAACTAGTACCCTCAAGTGAAATTTAATTCGTTTGTAAAAAGTTTCATTAACTCAGTACTTACAACTGCATTATTTCACTGAAATAGCTATAATGTTTTATCAGCGATTGGGGATCTCTCTTACGCAAATAGCTGAACTGTAAAACATTATCTTTCATGGCAGAGGCCACGTGAGAGAACCACTAGAGAAATTTTTAATATGGTCATTGAAGATTTGTTTCCAAATAGAAATTATTGTGTGTCCGTTATGGTCTCCGCATCTCTAAATAAACATTCCATCTCATCACCCTGGAAATGTATAACTGCAGACTCTAGAGCTCAACAAGGTAACTGTGCTATGGTCCAGAATGGATTGTTTTGTCTTTTGTGCAAGTGTTTTGTTTTTATATAGCAAGATTTACAAGTCAGTTAATTCTGAAAATAGTGAGAGAGAAAGTATCTTCCAAGTGATAAGCATTTGGGGAATTTATAAATGAAATACGAAAACCCTTTCATCTGGGGGCTGAACATCTATTGTTAATTCTGCAAACTGTACATATCAGCACTGACTGCGTAAATAGTTTTCAAAGATGATATTTATTTTAATTCTTGATTCTAACTTTGAATTTTATCTTGTTCCGTGTTTGGAATAGATGACCTCTAGATGTCCCTTTTAACCAAAATTATTCTGTGATTCTAAATAGCTGTTCTGAAAGTGTAATATGAAATATGATCATTAGAAATTTCATTCAGGTTTTTTTTTCACTTGCAGATTATCATATAGCTACAATCACAGGTGCTGTATGTTTTTCATTGGCTATCGTTGTCATCCTGAGCTGTATGTATGCAGGAGGTTTTATTCTTCAAAAAAAATCACTTCCACGTACCTTGGTATGTATTAACTTTAATATTTAGCCTTCCTAGGTGGGAAGAGGAAGTTTACCCTCTGAACTGAACAAAAATAATTTATAATAATATGCCTTAGGTAAAAGTTATTAAATTCTATGCAATTGTATGTTACTAAATTTGGAGTTAACCTCTTTCAAAGATAGTCTGTAGGCTGCTGAATCTTGTGTATTATGCAATGTAAATATTCAGCATTTTTCAAAGCCTTTTTTTTGCTGCTTCTGGGACAAGTTAGTGTGCGGGTTGTAATGACAGGGAGACTCCTCAGCCTAACTTTAAAAGAGCTCTGTACAGTAGCCAGATGCAGGCTAATCCCCACAGCAGAGTGTCCCGCATGGGATAATTGACTTCGTCCCTTTGAAAATTAGCTCATATATAAATCCTGCCGCAGCAGACGGATGTCTTCCACCATCCAAGCCAGAGTAATAATTCCAAATTAAAGCCATTCCGGCACACAGGGAAAAAGCGTAATCCCTGGCAGAGTTGCTAAGGATGCTCTGAAAACTGGGTGTTGGTTGCTCCTTAGCAAAACTGTTTCGGGTACGTTTTGCCCGATATAGCTTTATTTCATCTTGCAGCATTGCGCTCCACTCCAGCAACAAATCCAATCCCTACTACAGCTGAATGAAACACCAAGAATCAGATCATTCCCTGAAGATCTGAGGATACTTTTGCCAGGTCCCTGGGTGCTGGAGTTACATACAAGCATTTGAGAGTTTCTGCAACTGAAGGCAAATATTTTAAATTTGCCTTCAAGTTTTTTTCTTCACTACGTTTCCGTAGGACACCAAGCTAAAAAGACAGAAGGTAGCTTTAAGTCCCAGTCTGTTTGAGTCTTGAGTTGAGTCCCATACTATTCCTGTAGTGAAGCATAAATATGGCCTAGAATTGGGATGTTTCGTCTCTGAAGCTCACAAATCCCCGAAAGAGGGACCAGTTACTTAAGCACATCTGGGGAAGCAAAGAGCCACTATCAGTGGTCTAAGGTATTCTTTCTAGAGCTATGCTTCTTGCTTGTTGTCCGCAAAAGGAGACAAGGAGAGCCTCTGAGTGCTAAAAGTAACAGGTCAGTAGCCTGGTAAGAAAGCAAAATCCGGATGATAGTTGAAAAAACTTGTTGTTGGAAATGAACTCACGCAGCAGATAAGAACTTACTCTCCGTTCATATCAACAAGGAGACAAAGGACAGACCATCAAAGACCTCTGTAGAGATGAGATTTTGCTTTGAGGAAGCAATCTTCAAACGCTGTTGTTTCTCAGGAAGCCTGTCAGCTTTGTAACATCAACAGTAGCTTCTGAGTCAAAGGAAACATCCTCTTTAGTGAAAACAGATATACCTAGTAGGTCCCCAACCTTTCAGGTTCAGATATATCTCATGTTACAGATTGGGGTACAGTTATCTATAGATACTTTTCTGGTAGGGAAGTATCCTAGTTGGTACTTCCAGAATAGTTATGCAGCAGAGTAGGCCACACAAAGAAGCGGTCCTCAAATGTCCAGCTTCCTCCTTCAGTAATGATTTTTTCTTACTGTATTTTCTTGTGAACAGGAACTAGTAAAAAGGTTATCTGATAGTGGAAAACTTAACAGAAAAAAAGGAAATTATCTCTGCAGGAATGTAGAGCTGATGTAGTTTCTCAGAAGCTACCTATTAGTGACCAGGCTGTCATAATCTACTCAAATATTGGAGCTGGATGAAAACAAAAGACAAAAGAAAAGAAACAATCTAGCTTTGGAAGACAAGTTACTCGTGGCGGGGGGGTCACATACACAAGGCGAGCAGTACCTACATTACCTTCCAAACGCCAAACTATTCTTAGTCGGGTACAGTGGTTGGCAGAAGTCCATGATTAGGGAAGAATAGTTTAGTTAATGAAGAAAGGAAGATAATGGTAACATCACTTAAATTTTTTCCAGTATTTTGAATAAAATAATCTTTCTTTTACTTGTTCTGTATGACAGTATCAAGTTTTAGTCCTTGAAGAAGTCATTATTATTTACTAAAGGAAAGTTAATTGCCACTAAATTTCAAGCAAGAATAAAATGCCCGGGTCTCCTTTCTATCTATTTCTTGGCTTTCTTCTTTATAGTCAGTGATTTCTCTTGCATTTCATTCTTTGGGGTTTTTTGTTCCTTGTGCCCTTTTCTCTCTTTCTCTCACGCGCCCTTTTGTCTCATGCGCTCAACATAGGTAGAGCGGATGGGTAACAACTTAGTTTCTAAGACTTTTTTTTTTCTCATCTCTGTTCTTTGCTATGACTTTACCTTCCTATCCCTAAGGTTGTTCAACATGACTCTGCCAAGTAGCTTCTAAGGTTAATCTTTTATTTTCAGCGTTTTTTTCCCCCAATGCTTAGAACCTTCAATAATCCTCAGAAGGGCAGCCAGTAAAACACAGAAAATGGGATTTAGGATGTTATACTGGTCGTTGCTTCAAATGGTAACTTTCTAAGGACATCAAAATTGTTACTCGTATAAGGCTTCTCTTCTTTGGCATGGTAGTTATAAGAGCGAGTAGAGAATTGCAAGATTCAGCTCAGATCCAAGATGTGTTTCTGAAATGATCTTTTAGTCTTAGATATCTCAAAAGTAAGAATTAAAACACTTCATGTCTGATGCTACTTGGTACTAGCAGCCATTTTTGTGAGACTGTCCAACTCTGTGCACCTTGATTTGTAGTGCAGGGTTTTGTGTTTACAGGAATGGAGAAGAGGGAATAGCTCTAGAGGCTTTGAGCTCTGCAGAAAAGGCCAAAACCATGGTACAGGGAGAACCGTTTTTTTATAACCTCATGTTTACGGGTACTTTTTCGTACTTTTGTGTGCATATAAGTTTGGTTCTTTTTTTGATTCACTTTGTTCTTTTAGGTATTCATCAATACATTAGGCTATTCACCTTTTACACTTGAATCTGAAGAAACAGCCTTCGTAGAGATCATTTCTAAAGAGGTTAAAAAAAAGGCAAAGGAATGTAGTGGCTGTGGCAGTGATGAAGACGATGATGACGACAGTGAAAGTGATGCCAGTAATCATGACTATACAAGGCGTGATATCTTCAGTAAAGTGCCTCATTCCTCTGCCATGTCAAATGCATTTGTGCAATGCTGTACAGACAGTACGTGTGAAGATGGCAGCAGTCAGGCAAGTCAAAATCCAGACACTGACCGAGAAGATTTTGAAGAGAATGAGATGGACATTGAAGAAGATAAAGGTGCAAGTGCAAAGTTACTTAGTCCTTTCTCTGAGGTAAATTGTACCTCTTCTGAGCCAAGGAATAGCGCTTGCTTTACCATAAACTTAAAAACTGTGCTGCTGGGAACCTCTGAAGAGAACATAGATAGTTCTGCTGCTCTCCTCTCTTCCCGAGAAGATGCAGTTGACTGGCAAGACTCCGGTGCTTTTGAATCAATACTCCTTGATGACACACAAAGTGTGCGCAAACCACTCTGTCATAGCATTGCTCATGAATGGCAAAATTCTTCTAGTTCTGATGAAAGTGATTCATCAGATTCAGATACGGACCAGAAAACTGAATACATAAGAAGATGAATAAGTGAGAACCACTATTTTATAACGTACATATATATTGTCGTAACTTTATTTCTGAACTGAACACAGATCTGGTCTTTCTCTTTTTTAACATTCTTGGAAGTATATGCCTGTGCATTGTTAAAAGTGAGTCTCACTTATTTTCAAAAATTGCTGTGGTATCTTCAGGTGTGGTCCAGGTTGTATTATCTCCAGGGAAACACAGATGACTCTTCAGATGCTAAGATGCGGCAGAGATACAGAGCAGTTATTTCATTTTGCAGTTTGATGGTGAGTTATGCTTTGAGCTGTTACGAAGTAAGTACTTTCTGTAAATTATTGTGAGGAATTCATAGTACAGGAAGAGGTGAGCAGCTGGTGTCTTAACCAGACCTTCTGACTATCAGCGTTGGAAAGAACAGTAATATGAAAGGAACCTCTGCTATTATTTCTTAGCTCTGTTGGTATGTTAATCTGAAACCTGTTTTGTCAGATGGATTGCAGATGTCAAAACAGTCCTGTATTGAAGTCAGTGAACTGATTTCTGCATGAATGCGTTTGTGCAGAGAAAGCTGATCAAGTGATATCTCGGGGGAAGGTAAAAATACTCAGAAACTTACAAAAGTATTTTTCTAACTGAGAATCAAGGCATTATATATACACCTTATTTTTATGCAGTTAATGTACAGTACATTTTTAATGTGAATAAAAGCATTTTAAGAAACAGTTACTGCAGTGTAAAGTTATTCTGTAACACTTGTGCTTCATGAAAATTCATAGACAAGGGTATGGAAAAACTGTAGCCTATGTGATGTGAGTTTTCCTTTTACTTTGACTCCTACAGACCTTTGAAAAGCTACCCGAGTTAGCCTGCTGAGAATTTATTCCTTAGGGGAAGTCTTTTAGGTGGCAGGCGGCTGAGAAGCCAACCCTTTGCATTCTCTGTAGCTCAACTTAGATGTTACTTTTCTGCCCACAAGCTGTTTCTGGCTGGCACTCGTCATTTCATCAGGATAGCTGGGAGTAATTTCTTTCTGTTGTACTACTTTTGAGAACAAAATAGGTTTAAGTACCTGACACCTTAGGTTGTTACAGAATAAATATTTGCAGGTTTGCACATCGTCCGTAGAATTAGTGGATGAAAGTTTTGCTCACGGGGACCCTGTAATTGTGTGTTGCTTCTGGAGTACAAGTTCGTGTAAGCCTCTGCACGACGGCAGAAGCCAGCAGAATGGCTCATATGCACATGAGGGCAGTGGAGCTGTGTCCACCCCAGGGAAGGCAGAACTTACCTTGTAGCCTCCTTTAATAGCAGGAGGCAGTAAGTGGGTCAGAAGCAAATGTATTAAGCGCAGAAATAGAACTGGTATTTTCAGTGGCAGAAGTAATAGGCTGAGAACGCTTACCGTGTGAATAAAAGAAACCTGTTCTCCTCCTCTTCCCCTTTCCTTCCCCTCCCCCCCCCGGAAAAAGGGAAGTTTACCCCGATGTTGATCAGGGACACAGAACAGCCCGCCAGCAGCAGTGGCATTGCCATCTTTTTTACGGTCACTGCAGGCCACATCCCAAAATCAGGGCTATAAACCTTCCCTCAGGTAAAATTCCTAGTGCCGGCAGCGGGGCTTTCCCTCCCCAGCAGGCTCGCTACTGTGACTTAGCTGCAGTCTGTTTATCCACGAGCTGTTTGTCTGCTTCACGCTCGCCTCAGCGCCCCGAGCCCCGCAGCTGTCGGCTCAGCTGCAATAAAAT